GAGTGAAGAGTACTGGAGCTCCGTACGGCGAAGTCGAAGGTCGAATCAGCCCTTTCTCCAGGAGATACTCTATTTGTTTTTTCATATCGGCCAGCTCTGTCGGGCTCAGCCGGTATGGTGCTCGGAACGTTGGCTTGGACCCCGGCTCTTCTACGATCTCGTGTTGATGTGTTCGGTATGGCGGTAGTTGATCAGGTAAATCGTCGGGGAGAACGTCCTGGAACTCTTCAAGAATTTTCTTGACTGCTGGAGGAAGTTCCTGGGTCTGCTTCTCTCCGTTGTCTGCTTCGTTGACTATCGCCATGAATCCCGCCGTGGTCCGTTTGACGTCCTTTTCAAAGCGTGCGAGTGTCTCGACTGGAATATTTCCCGTGTCGTCCCATTTGGGAAGGCTGATTTTGTCGAAACGTAAGAACGAATGTAGAGTTAAGTTGAAAACTAGGGCCTAGGCTTAGGAGCCTAGGCCCGAGATTAGGTGTCGAGTGAGTTCGGGCCTAGGGTGAAGAGATCGAGTGAGTTGGAAGAGAAGTTGGGAAGGAGTGATGCTTCACTATAGTTTCGAAGTACATATAGCAAAGGAAACAAGTGAAGAGGTGCACCACCTACAGATTTAAATAACTACACTAACTACAGCTACAGGCAGTTACAAATATAGGTTTTGACACTCCCCCATAACTGCCTGCAGCAGGAGTATGTGCAGAATACAACCTGCAGGTGTACACATGCAAAATAATGAAAAGCAAGCAACAGCAGGTAATGCAGGCGGGCTGACACTAGCTGGTCACCCCCTCCATCTCCTCACCCTCCTCCTTCCCCTCCCCCACACTGCTGCAGGAGCAGCAGAGAAGGGGGGAAGAGAGGAGAGATGGAGGGACGGCTGCTTGTTGCCTCACACCCGCCACCCCGGTACCACTCCCCCTGCTCCCCCACACCCTCACACCCTCCCCCCCAGCGGCAGCTGCAGCGGTGGGACTGAAAGGAGGAGGAGGGGAAGGGAAAGAGTCGACCCAACACTCCAACACCCGCCACCCCCACACCCTCCTCCCCACGGCTGCAGTGAGACAAAGGAGGAGGGGGTGGGCGGGAAGAAAGCTGCAGAGCGGCTAAACGGTGTCGGCGCTGATAGGTCAGGGGCGGCTTCAGGGAGAGCAGGGGCGGAAAGGCCCGTCGCGTGCCACGGGGCGCACGACGGGTAAGTTCAAGTGAAAGGGCCCGATCGTGTGCCTCGGGGCGCACGACGAGCAGGGCACCGTCGCGTGCCACGGGGTGCACGACGGGCAGGTTAAGGGCACCGTCGCGTGCCACGGGGCGCGCGACGGGCAGAGAAGGCGTCACACGCCAACCGGGGGCGGGACAAGGAAAAATCGCCACGCGCCCTAGGCGCGCGACCGGAAAATCGTAGCAGCGGAAACGTGAGGCAGGCGCACAGGCCAGAACGAACGTCGCTCTGATAACATGTCGAAACGTAAGAACGAATGTAGAGTTAAGTTGAAAACTAGGGCCTAGGCTTAGGAGCCTAGGCCCGAGATTAGGTGTCGAGTGAGTTCGGGCCTAGGGTGAAGAGATCGAGTGAGTTGGAAGAGAAGTTGGGAAGGAGTGATGCTTCACTATAGTTTCGAAGTACATATAGCAAAGGAAACAAGTGAAGAGGTGCACCACCTACAGATTTAAATAACTACACTAACTACAGCTACAGGCAATTACAAATATAGGTTTTGACAGATTTTCCTCCCATTGTTGTTGATGTTGGCCGTCCGGTTAACCCAGTTGATCTCGGGGTTGAACTTTTTAAGAAAGTCTCTCCCGAAGATTACGTCGAGTCCTTTGATATTTGTGACGGGGAGAGCAGGCTTCCATCGGAGGGGTCCAATCTGGAGTAGTAACCGTGTTTCCCCGTAGATAGGTAGCTTACTGCCATCCACCATCGTTGCAGAGAAGCTTGAGGACTTGATTTCACCTCCGAGTCGATCGATTGCCTTTTTGTCATAGACGCTGTGCGACGCCCCGCTGTCCACGAGTGCTTGGAGGCGCTGTCCGTTGCAGATCACCTCGAGCAGGAGTGGTGAGCATTGCTCGGAGTATCCAAAAATAGTCTCATTAATAGGATCATAGGGTACATCCCAATATTCAGTACACACCGTGGTTCCACTGTTTGCTCCTGGACAACCAGCTGGCCTGGGCTGCGTGGAGAAAAGCTCCTCTCCAACGCCAGGAGCAGAGGTAGTAACCGTACAGGTTGACCCTGAGGGGGTGGATCCGGTCGACGCCTGCGATCCACTGGATGCATCCTGGAGGGGTTTTCGGAGTTCCCGCAGCTTCTTTTGAACTCCCAGCTACCTCTTCAGCTGCTTCAGCTCCATAGACTTCTTCCCTGGGGAGTGGAGAGTCGTCTTGGGCTGGTTCCGGGAGAGGACGTTGACGCCGTGAAAAGGTCTACTCCTTTCCACACTCCTTCATTTTTTCCCCAGCTCCGTAGGCACCGGTACCACTTCTTTAATTGTCTACTTCCTCAGGAGTTCTTCCCGGAATTTGTTTATGGCTCCGGACCCGCGAAAATCACCAGTCTTCATTAAAGCATCTTTAAAAGATAACTTAAACGAATTCTGTTTTTTTCCGGGGTCGAATTGGAGAGTTCCCGTCTTGGTCGAGTCTGTTTTCGCGGAGGTTATATTTTCCTCGGCGAATCCCTCTGACAAATTTCGGTCAAGGGTCTTGGGATTTCGCCCTTGATTCTCCAAATCTCGCGCCCAGTGCTGTCCTTCAATTTCGATTCGGTCCAGATTTCGCTGACGCTTTCGGATCTGCTTTTCCTCGCCAGCACGATCCGCAATCACTGGCGAGATCCGTTTTTTGACTTTTTGTCTTTAGTTTCGTCACTCCCACGAGCTCGGAATGCCGCACGTGCAGATTTCATGTGAAAACAGTCGACAATCCGATGTCCGTTTCCGCCGCAAAATTCGCAAAACGTTTTGTTTTTTGCATGTCGTGAATTCGCATCGAATTTGTCGACTTCCATGGGGTCGGCGAACGTGGTTGAAGCCGAGCGATCCCGTTGTCGTGATCCGACGACGTGGGGCCGTCGTGTTCCGGAGTTGACCAAGTCAAAACGCTCCGCGGCCGATACGATTTCGCTGTAGCTGCTGCAATTCGCTGCTGTAACCTGGCGCCGAATGTCGGTTTTCAGCCCCGCGATGTAGAACTGAATTTTTCCGCCCTTGGTAATGTCGGGAATGCGATGATAAAATTCCTCCATCTGCTGCGTGTATTGCGCGACACTCCCGAATTGCCTATGGTGATGTAATTTTTCGCGCGCAATATAAGTGGAATTAATCGACTCAAAACGTTTGAGAAGGTCTGCCCGGAACTGCTGCCACGTGGCTTCGCCCTGGAAAATGCTACTGTTGCTTCCGAGCCACTCGAGAGCTGGACCGCGCATCAACGTTGTCGCGAGACGAATTTTCTCGCCGTCGTACTCCGTCGTCGACCATCCGATTGCCGCGAAATAAATTTCCATCGTCGCGAGCCACCGCCTGACGTCGGATTTTTGATCGCTAGGGTCGAACGATTCCGGCGAGCAAAGTTTCGGAACCTCGAACTGACGCTGCGACTGCTGCGAAGTCGTCGAAGCAGGAATGTTCATGGTCGAGAGGAGCTGCGTAACGCGCTGCAGTTCGTTTCGCAGCTGCTCGTTCTCCAATCGCGACCGTTTAGTCGTCGCTCGCATCTCCGCTTCCATCTTGGCGATTTGCGCGAGTAGCTGCTGCGTAACGTCGTTGGTCGCTGGTGAACCCATCCTGTTCAGAAACCACGCGAGGGGGTTAATTCGAAAAACGCGGAACAGATGCTTACCAGAAATCGGCGTCGAATTGGTCGCCCCCGGCGGTTTTTCGAGGCGATTTTTTCCGCGACCGCTGCTTAGCCGAGAGTTGTCGAGTGAGAACGGCTCTGATACCAAGTGTCACAGGATCGAATTCTCAATCGAAACTTGTCACTAAAACTGAATACAAGGCATTTTTATACTTGGAAAATACAAGGATAAACGAGATAAAACGAACATTTGGGAACACGCCCTTCCCGATACTACGATCACAAGTGCGCACAAGCACGCAAGGCTATTGGCACTTGGGATAACGCCCAGATTACACCGTATACACTACTGTCGGCGCTGTCGGTGCCGTATAATAGGTATGTCGGTGGAAAAAGTAGTAAATAAGAGAAATAAATAGAAGGCTCTAGAAAATAGAATAGTAGGCCGATTGAGATGAGATAAAGACCAAAATAAAGAGGAGAAAAGGGAGAATAGGATAACGGAAAATTATAATAGTGAGAAAATATTATAACGGGGACGTCCTCTCACACCAGCCCCATACTAAACCATTTGCAACTAAGTGTTTGATGAAATCTATTGTTGTATGTTTGAATTTGTTTTAGCTGCTATGTGCAACACTGTGCGTTCGGGACAACACTGTACTTTGCAGGGATTTTACTAATTTTGCACTTGGCGTTTCACAACTGTTGTACCCTTTGTAGTGATTGATGCGTTGGCAACTGTGATTGGCCGACGCATCTCAAACGAATTGGCCCGCACCACAATCACCAGCCAAGAGGTACTTCAGCGAATGAGCGGCTGAGATCGAGCGGTAGGTGGGTTTATGCTAGGGTGGCTACACGTACACCGTCCAATATAGCCTGATAGGGTTACAGTAATCTCTCTAGTCTTGCAACCCACCCCAACCACCCTCGTGCCCCACCCACCTGCTTCCGTCACTCCCTGGTCCAACACTTTGACGCTGCTCGCTGTTTGACACACGCCTCTCCATCGCGGCCATAGCTCTCTGCTTAGTGGCTATTATTTCAGTTTTAGATGAAGCGGCAGTTTTCGGATACAGATAACAGTGATCGACCGTCGATAATCCCATCGTGGATTTCCGTTGCAATACCCCTTCGAAACCGGCACAACCCTTCCGCGTGATGTGCTAATTTGCTTTCCTACAACGACCATGACTCGTGCAACACGTAACCAAGCAATGGTGGAGGAACAGGCCGGCCGCCGTGCGACAAGGAGGACGTCTCAACAGATAGATAGGGAGAGCGGTGGGGGCGCTAAAAAAACTAATGTGTCCGTCGCGCCAGGCATTGGGCAGAAAAAAGCGGCGCCAAAAAAGGTCGAGCGCGGTCAAGAGGAGTCCGGCAAGAAAGCGGAAGACAAGGGGCCTAAACCAAAGCCACGCAAGCGTGTTTCTACAGTGCGCAAAGAAGCGGATGTTGCCTCTGCTGGAACCGAGCCAGGTCCGAGTAACGACGGCACCACTGGCGGCAACAAAGATACGGGGCGAGGGAGCGCGAGTCTTGCAGCCCCGTCGGCGGAGATAGAGGGATTGGCGACAGGGGGAAACCACGGAGGCGATCCCCGCGCCGAGCATGCCGCAACCAAGGAGTCCGAGGCGGCGGCATCGCAACACCATCTGACGCTGCTCCATCCGACCGTGGTCGAAGTTTCTGCAGCAGTGCTGGATAAGGACAAGGTGGGGGAGCACGAGTCGGAGGGGCAGGCCGGTGGCTCTCCTCCTTCTGGTGGACAGGAGAGGCGTAGGCAGAGGAGGAGCGATGGGGAGGACGATTATGACACCGCCGTGCCCGGGGACCTCACCACGCGGGCGAAGAGGCGACAGACGACAGGCAGTGCTAACGACGCCGGAGGCGCGGAAGTTGGGACAACGCGAGGCGCCAAGGAAGCTAGTGGCAAGGCGGGCGATCAAGCATTGCGCCAGAAGGGCCGACCCGCAGCAAGAAAAACATCAGGCGGAAGGAGAGGCAAGAAAGCAGTGACGGGGACGAGGCAGAAACGGGGCGATGAACACCCTGGTGATGCAGAGGAGGAGGAGGATGAGGAGGAGGATGCGGAGGAAGAGGAGGATGAAGAGGATGCGGAGGAGGATGACGCGGATGTTGGGGAGGATGAAAAAGATGAGAATGATGGCGGGGAGGATGAAGAGGAGGATGAGGAGGAGGAGGAGGAGGAGGAGGAGGAGGAGGAGGAGGAGGAGGAGGAGGAGGAGGAGGAGGAGGAGGAGGATGAGGAGGAGGAGGAGGAGGAGGAACAGGGTGACGACGAGGAGGAGGATGAGGAGGAGGAGGAGGCAGCAGAGGAGGAGGAGGAGAAGGAGGAGGAGGAGGAGGAGGAGGAGGAGGAGGAGGAGGAGGAGGAGGAAGAGGAGGCAGTTGACGTGGGGCAGTTGACGCCGCACGTGGCGAAGCAGCGTGCAAACAGAAGGCGCGTAAGGTGAAGGTCGAAAGTGAAGGGGGTGGTAAAATGCAAGGGAGCCAGGGAGCAAAAGGGGATGGAGGAGGAAAGGGTGACCGCGGCAAAGGGGTTCTAGTGGGTACCGGCAAGAAAGAACCTGCCGGTTAACGTCGCAGCGTCCGCCAAAGCACCCCGCGGAAAGGTGGCAACGAGAAGGCGCAGGCTGCCCCAAAACCGAAGGGACAGCAGAAAGGTGAGCGTTGCGGCCAATACAAGTGGCGTGGTTGTTGAACCATCTGGTCAACCGTGCCAAATAACACCATTTTTTCCCATTGTTTCTCCCCTGCAGGGAAGGAGAGGGTCGACGAATCTACCAAGCAAGGTAAACCCTCTTGTCTCAAACCAGTACAACCCTAAACCCGATTTAGATTCAAACCTTTGATATTATGCATGCATGTCTGGCCCTGTATTGAAACTGATTGACTCTAATTTCTTTATCCTACTCCCTCTACATCTCAGCCCCTCGCGTTACAGGCATTGGGCCACCCGTAAGCGTGCAACGGATGCAGCTAACGAAGGCTGCCGGAAGAGCGAGTGTTACACTGCTAGCCACAGGAGCACCAAGGTTCTACACGCCATACACCGGCCCGAGCAAAGTCGCTGCGACGGCACCCGGCGCGCCAAGAGGAGAGGAATCCGAATCCCCTCCACCAGCCCCTGTCACGCAAACCCCACTCGCCTCACCCTCGTACCAATTTTGGTCGCTACACGCTTCTCCTGTCCGGGGCAGGGCGGTCTCTCCCCTCGCCGGTCCATCGCACGGGCATCAGGCAGGCACTTATACCAATCCCTTCCCTGAGCTCCCCTTTTCCCGCCAGCGTGATAGTGTGAGGGCACACGGGACTGCTGCAGAAGATGCTGATCCCCTTGGCCAGATGGGGGATTCTTCACACCCTTTTCATCCGCTCATGGGTGCCCTAGGTGAAAGTGCGGAGCACGAGCAGTTTGTTACACGGGAGGAGTTCCAGGCGCTGCGGTCTGAGATGTACGCCATGTTTGCACAGCTCGGCCTGCGTCGTGGAGTACCTGCCAGCTATGCCGGCGGGTCGGCACCCCTGCCTATGGCTGGTACCCCGCCGCCGATGAGCGCCGTGGACAAGGCACGAGTGCTAGTGTTGCAGGAGACAAACCCATTCCCGGTATGTGGTGGGCCAAATGGGGCGGGTTGGGGTTGACGTGGCAACCAGGGCAGGGTTGGGGCTGACGTGGCGGTTTTGAAGGCTCCATCTGAGCGGCGCGTGACGAGGCGACGCGTATCAGGTGGGTGGGGGGTGACGTGGCATGGGGCGGGTGGGTATGACGTGGCAAGTGGCGCAGGTTGTTGGTGGACGTGGCGGATGCAAGTGGGTGTGACGTGGCAAAAGGTGAGGGTTGAGATATGACGTGGCGGTGTGAAAGGGTGCAAGGGAGTGCCGCATGACGGGGCGAGGCGTTTCAGGTGGGTGGGGGGTGACGTGGCTCTTGGTGGGGGGTGTGATGTGGCAAGTAGGGCGGGTTGTTGGCGGATGCAAAAGGCTGTGACGTGGCATGAATGTGAGGGTTGGGGCAGACGTGGCGGGTTGGAATGGTACACGGGAGCGGCGCGTGACAAGGCGACGCGTGTCAGGTGGGTGGGGGGTGACGTGGCATGGGGTGGGAGGGTGTGACATGGCATGGGGGGCTGGTTGTTGGTGGACGTGGCGGATGCATGAGGGTGTGACGTGGCGGATGCAAGAGGGTGTGACGTGGCACGTGGGGCTGGTTGTTGGTGGACGTGGCGGATGCAGGAGGGTGTGACGTGGCGGATGTAGGAGGGTGTGACGTGGCACGTGGGGCTGTTTGGTGGACGTGGCGGATGCAGGAGGGTGTGACGTGGCGGAAGGTGAGGGTTGGGGATGACGTGGCGGATGCAGGTGGGTGTGACGTGGCGGAAGGTGAGTGTTGGGGATCACGTGGCTGTTTAAAAGGCTACACATGTGCGGCGCATGACGAGGCGAGGCGTTTCAGGTGGGTGGGGGGTGACGTGGCTCTTGGTGGGGGATGTGACGTGGCAAGTAGGGCGGGTTGTTGGCGGATGCAAAAGGCTGTGACGTGGCGGAATGTGAGGGTTGGGGCAGACATGGCGGTTTGGAATGGTACACGGGAGCGGCGCGTGACAAGGCGACGTGTGTCAGGTGGGTGGGGGGTGACGTGGCATGGGGTGGGAGGGTGTGACGTGGCACGGGGGGCTGGTTGTTGGTGGATGTGGCGGATACAGGAGGGTGTGACGTGGAAAGTTCACACAGTCCATCCTGCGGTCACGCGGCCACAGTCATAACTGATGGCTTCTCTCTCCCCATGTCGTATTGTATACCCCACACCCCTGCGCAGAACAAAGCCTACTTAGTGTGCTCTCAGCTCCTGTTTTTGAACCCCCAGAGAAAATCCAGTACTACCCTACACCGGAGGAAGTGTTCGAGGCGTTCGCTGTCCACTTGTATACCGAAGGGCTCGAGTCACTGAAGCTGCTGTGGTTGCACAACGACAAGTCAACCATGGGTGTCTTCAACCACCAGATGTCGTCAACCAGGTCAACAATCAACAGCACCCTCAGGCCAGCAACGTACGCCGGCATGGGCCTCTCCGATTACGCCCATCTCGTGGATACCCTGCCCACTAAGCTACACCCAAAGAAGTGGTTCAACCACGAGGATCTCCTGGCCGAGTACAGAGATGGTATGTGCGACTCGAACACACCATATCCCCCTGCCCATATGCCAGGTGGCAGCTACAAATAACCGTGCGGTGTTCCTCACCCTGACTCTCACCCAGCCACTTGATTTCTCTGCACCCCCTTTCCAACCCGTACGCTCCCTCCAAAATGCAAAACAGTGGGCCCTCAACTGGCACTTTGACAAGGCCACCGGAACGCCCTTCAGCAACCCCTTTTTTGCTTATGCGTTCAAGCTCTCCTTCAAGAGGGGCGGGGTCGTGTTCACCAAGTTCAAGAGCCGCATGGTGGCATGGGGCCTGTTTTCGGTAAGGATGTAGATATGTGTCTGTACACCCATGCCTCATCCCCTAAACCCCTTGCCTGTACTTCATCTAAATCCTTGGTCGCTTAGGCGTTTGCAATTACGTAAGGTGTGTCAACTTCACCGCTTTCGGTTGGCCCATATACCCGTAACCCCACCCCATACTCCATCCACCCAACCCTACACCACATTGCAGATCGAGTGGCCCCTTCTGCAGGACAAGCGTCGCAAGCGAATTCCGGCCCAGCCGGAACAGAACAGGCCGGACTACTTCGAGTGGTGTGACAAGGTCAAACAGATGATACAATTTGCCGTCGTGGAGCGGCGGATCCCACACGATCCGGCTCAACGTGCGTTCGTCTTCCCGAACAAGTTCCTCATCGACGATGGCGACCTTGGAGATGTCATTCTTGCCCACCGGGCGATTGCAGAGCCCAGCATTGCGTAGGCTATTTGACCTAGTGCTAAAAATGCTGGTTGTTAGACTGCTGAATAATGGTTGTTGTAACCCGGAATATTGAATGTAATTTTGAAATCCTCAATACCCGAAATAAAACAAAACCAAAATCTAGTTTTAAAAAATTTGGTACCGAAATTGCACCAAAACAGATTGCGCCCGAATGTCATCCGGAAAAGCTCACGTGCCAATTTGAAACTTGATCCGAGCCAAACCTTGTCGCGAGATGTGTGTCGGAGCTCCTATCAAATGATTCCAACCGTCGGTCGAAATTGGGTCCGGATTTTTTTACGCGAAGACAACCCCAATCAAAATTCGTCCAAACTTGGCATAGGGTTTTTGTGATGTTGTCATGCTGGAACACGACTGCCTCGGGATTCAGCTCGTAATGCTCGATAGTTTGTTGAAGCCCATCTTGCAGGATTGAACGGTACAACTCCCCGTTCTGTCAAACTTATATGCTATAGTCTGTTGTCAAACATTATATATGTTATGCTTGTGTAGGCTACAGTGGGTTAGCCTATAGGGGGTACACAATTCTAGGGTTTCCTACTTGTACTCATTTCAATGCTAGTTCATTCATTCCTGTTCGCTTATTCTCACATGGTATAGAGCGGGTCCTTCTAAGGACCGTTTTTTTTTTTGGGCCCACCGAAGCGCGCCCCGAGGCGCGATTTTTTTTAGCGACCCCTCGGGTCGCCTTTTCCCCTGCGGCTCAGCCGCCTCCACTGACGCGGCCCCACCGCCCTCCCTTACGCGGCCCCGTCGCCGGCTCTCACGCGGCCCCGCCGCCGACTCTGTCGCGGCCCCGCCCCGGCCTTTACGCGGCCCCGCTGCCTGCTCTCACGCGGCCCCGCCCCGGCTCCTACGCGGCCCCGCCCCGGCCTTCACGCGGCCCCGCCGCCTACTCTCGCGCGGCCCCGCCCCGGCTTTCACGCGGCCCCGCCGACGGCTCTCTCGCGGCCCCGCCCCGGCTCTTCCGTGGCCCCGTCCCGGCTCTTACGCGGCCCCTGCCCCGGCTCTTACGCGGCCCTGCCGCCGGCTCTCTTGCGGCCCCGCCCCGGCTCTCACGTGGCCCCGCCGTCGGCCCTCTCCAGGCCCCGCCGCCGGCTCTCTTACGGCCCCGTCGCCGGCCCTGACGCGGCCCCTGCCCCGGCTCTCAAGCGGCCCCGCCGCCGGCTCTTTTGCGGCCCCGCCGCCGGCTCTGAAGCGGCCCCGCCCCGGCTCTCACGCGGCCCCGCCGCCGGCCCTCACGCGGCCCCTACCCGGCTCTCTTGCGGCCCCGCAGCCGGCTCTGAAGCGGCCCCGCCCCGGCTCTCACGCGGCCCCGCCGCCGGCCCTCACGCGTCCCTGCCCCGGCTCTCCCACGCGGCCCCGCCGCCACACCTGCAGCAGTCGGGCAGCAGTGCAGCCGAACCGCCCGGGAGCCGAGCCGCCCAACGCCCGAGCCGCCCAGTCGCCGAGCCGCCCGGGACCCGAGCCGCCCTGCACCCGAGCCGCCCTGCCGCCGAGCCGCCCGGGAGCCGAGCCGCCCTGCACCCGAGCCGCCCTGCCGCCGAGCCGCCCGGGAGCCGAGCCGCCCTGCGCCCGAGCCGCCCAGCCGCCGAGCCGCCCGGGAGCCGAGCCGCTGTGCACCCGAGCCGCCCGGTCGCCGAGCCGCCTTTCTGCAGAGCTGCACGACCTGCCCTGCCTGGTGAGCACAATCCCACTGTCACTGCGAGCTCTTTCCCTACTGCTTGCACTGCGTCGCTGTCGTCGCCATGGCTACCCCTAGTGTCCTAGCTTTTGACGCTGAGGGTCGCGCCATTGATTTTGAGGTCTGGTTAGACGACCTGCAGCTGTTCTTACAGTGCGACAGGGCTGACGACCTTTCTCTCTTTGACCTCACCTCTGGCGCCTCTCCTGCTCCTGCTGCTGATGCTGATCCCACTGTCCGCTCTAAGTGGGCCACCCGCGATGCTGCTGCACGTCTTGCTGTGCGTCGCCACCTCCCTACCTCTGAGCGTGCGCACTTTAGTCAGTACAAGAGTGCTCAGACCTTGTACGACGCTGTAGTTGCGCGCTACTCCTCCCCTGCCACTGCTGCACTGAGCCGTCTCATGCTTCCCTACCTCTTTCCTGACCTCTCTGCCTTTCCCACTGTCGCTGACCTCATTACGCACCTCCGCACTAGTGACACTCGCTACCGCGCCGCCCTTCCTGCTGAGTTATGCGCTAAGAACCCCCCCCCCATGTACATCGCTCTCTACTACGTAGTCGCGCGCCTCCCTGACTCCCTTCGCGTCGTCAGGGACCACTTTCTCGCAGTCTGTCCCACCACCCTCACCGTCGACCTCCTCGAGAAGGCCCTCCTCGCAGCGGAGAAGAGCATAGTCGCTGTAGGTGCTTCTCGTGGTGACCCTCGCACCCCCATCTTTGAGGGGTGCTCTCCTTCCCCCTTGCTGCCCTCTGTTGCCTCTGCTGCTGCTGCCGACCTGCTTGGTCTTGAGTCGGTCGGCGCGGCGTCTGCCCCTAGTGGGAGACGTCGCTCCAGCAAGGGCAAGGGGGGCAAGGGCGCGGGTGGAGCTGGAGGGGGCGGTGGCGGTGGCGGCGGTGGCGGCGGAGGGAGTGGGGGTGGCGGCGGGACTAGTGGCGGGGGTGGTGGTGGTGGTGGCAGCAGCGGCGGAGACGGTGGTGGTGGTGCCAGCGGTGGTGGTGGAGGCAGCGGCGGAGGTGGAGGCGGTGG